GCTTGGGCGCCCCCCGGCCCCCTGCGGGGGGGGGGGGGGGGGTTCAGCATCCGCGGTGACCACGTTCCTTATCCTAAACCGACGTCCAAGGACATCATGACCACGAAGCCCAAGATACAAGTCCAGGAGGCCAGCTTGCCGTTGCCACTGCCGCACGAGGGGAGAAAGGTGACAGTTAGGACACGGGTTGTAAAGTCACAAAGGATCATATACATGTGCATCATACTATCCAATCATATCGCTCTGTTTTGGGTGGAAAAGGGGCGGGGTTTGAACCTTTACCAGGCACTCCAAAGATGCGTATGATAGGCCGAGTTGCTTACGTCACTAGCCCATGTGAGAATATTTATTCCAAACATATTTATAGCGCCGCCAACTTGTGCAAAAGCTGACATACTATTTATTAGTGATGCACCGATACCGAGTAGTTGGGCAAGTACTCATACGCGCCCAAATGCTCCGATACCGGAACTTCCGGCCACGGGGAGATTTCCTCGGACCGGCAGTGCTGTAGGGGAACATGGAGCTGGCTTCCCGTGTGATCGGGAAGCTGGGCGGCGAGTAATGACCCGCCTCCCGATTGGCCCGGGAAGCCGGCTCAATGCTGATTGGGCCAGGAAGCTTGCCGAGGCCCTGTCATTGGACACGGGAGTGAAAGGTGTCGCTGGGCTCAGTCCCAGTATGGAAAGTCATGACTTCCATCAAAGTGAAATCGGTTTCAGAGAGGCGCAACGAGAAAAATGATCTGGCTGGCAAAGGCACCTGGCCGTGCAGTCTCTTTAAAGGAGAACTATGAGGGGGGTGATTTCCACTCACCTCATAGTTCTAGCCGACCCGTGACAATGAGACTGTCACAGGTCGGCTCAGTAGATCGGGAGGTGAGCGAACACATACCGGCGTTCGCTCACCTCTCGATCCTGTAACGGCTCTTTGCCGTGACAGGGGAGGGGCTGGATTCCCCCATCCCCGCTCCGATCCGCCAGCGCTGACTGGCGGATCGGACGGGGGAGGGGGCGGGTACAGCTGGCTCTGCCTCTAGATAGGCAGAGCCAGCTGTCAATCACGCAGCTGGACGGATCCCGGCACAATTGTCGGGATCCACTTCAGCTGCGGCGTCTCAGTATACCGCGAGCTACAGCTCGCTATATACTGAGCCTAGGGTGACGGGAGGACGCTAGTTTGTGTCCTTCCGTTACCCTTAGGAGAACTATGGGGAAAAGCCCTGACCCCATAGTTCTCCTTTAACGTGTAATAGTTCTAAATGCCTGAGGGGTTTAAGTTGTCCCTGTGACACTAGTTTAATAAACCCGCCCTAAAACGCTGAGCGCCTCTGAATACCGATCGTAAAAGAGCAACTTACCCAGTCTGTGCTTCCGGTATGATGTCATCCATCACCACATACACCATGGCGCCCGCCGCAAAAGCTAATGCATAGGGTAAGATGGGCTCTGCCAGTGCTATGGCAAAGGCTCCTAAGACTCCGGCAATGGGCTCGACCATTCCACTTAACTGGCCGTACCTGTGGAGAAGAGAAAAGGTTATCTGGTGGCAGAGATGTATTATAGTAAATACACTATATATACCCCGATCAGCCATAACATCATGACCACTGAGACGTGAAGTGAATAACATTGATTATCTGCTTACAATGGCACCTGGAAGTGGGGCAGATATTACAATGGCACCTGGAAGTGGGGGATATATAACAATGGCACCTGGAAGTGGGGCGCATATTACAATGGCACCTGGAAGTGGGGCGCATATTACAATGGCACCTGGAAGTGGGGGGGATATATTACAATGACACCTAGAAGTGGGGGGGATATATTACAATAGGACCTGGAAGTGGGGGCGATATTACAATGACACCTGGAAGTGGGGGGATATATTAGGCAGGAAGTGAACATTTTGTCCTGGAAGTTGATGTGTTGGGAGCAGAAATAATGGACAAGTGTCAGGATTTGAGGGACCAAATTGTGATTCTAGACGACTGGGTCAGAACTCCAACACTGCAGCTCTTGTGGGATGTTCCCGGTCTGCAGTGGTCAGGACCGACCAAAAGTGGTCCAAGGAAGGAAAACCGGAGAACCGGTGTCAGGGTCATGGGTGGCCAAGGCTCATTGATGGACGTGGGGAGGGAAGGCCGGCCCGTGTAGTTCGATCCAATGGGAGAGATGCTGGAGATCAAATTGCTGAAAAAGTGAATGCTGGTTCTGAGAGAAACGGATCCACACGGAGTGAAGGATGACCGCGGCAAAGTTAGTAGCGTGCTGGACCCGAATGCAGAGAAGATGGGATTGAAGTCCCAATTTCAGAGGCAGCTCTCTGTCACTCCCGAGGGTCCCCGGAGTAGTCTGAAGAATGTAGATGGGATGAGAGCGCCGCAAATTCGAGTCCAGTAAATCTTTATTGCAAATGAGAAAATGTCAGAGGCAGCCGACGCATTAGGGGAGCTCACACTCCCTTCATCAGGGCTTACATTTCGGCAAAAATGGAAGAGAGTACCGGACAACAAAATGGATAAAAAAAAAGAAACGCTCATTTGGGGTAGACGGCCTGGCAGCGTCAGTGAACGGAAAACAACGACTGGCTTACTTGGCCAATGAGAAGTTCTTCCTTGGAAGTGATACAAAGGCCTGCAGCAATCTGCGACAGTCCCATACAGACCGGCCGGTCATAAATGATAAGCCACGATAACCGTGACAGGCGCTGCTAACAATAGTGCTACTCACCAAAACGACCTCCACGTGGACAATCCGGCTCCTCTTAGTGGAAGGCTAACAGCAAGGCCCTCTGGAAAGTTCTGGATTCCTATTCCGATGGCTAGATTTCTGCAAAACAACATTTTGGTTATCAGGGACGGACGCCGGGACAACGTGACGTCTCTTCTGACAATATCTGTGCTAAGGAGGAATGTATTATTCATTGTTAATGTTTCTATAGCTTCTAATGGTGAGGCTGGTTAGATCTCCTCCCTGGTCTAACCTACTGAAGATTCCGTCTGGGCTTCCAATGCTGGGAGAATATTAGACTCTATAAACTGCAGGAACTTTATTTCCACACAAAGACTTTTCTGAATTTTCATTTTCTCATCAATTTTCGTTTTTTTACAGGACTGACATATTCTGTAACGCTTTACCAGGTGCTCGGTACTACATCGGTCCCTGCCCCAAGCAGAGGCTTATTCTCTAACACCAATACCACAATAGTAATACACGCCTCTTTGGTGCGGTGCCAGTTCACCTTCTTGTGTGCATTTGGGTTGCAGAAGGAAACTAGAGCCGCTACACAGACACGTACACACTCCATGCAGATATTATCCCTGGTGGGATTTGAACCTAAGATGCACAGCGGCAAAAACAAGAGTGCGAACAGATAAATGCACCAAGGTTATGTCTTCTTCAACTTCCTCTGCCACTCCCCTCATTGTATTTGCTGGTAATTCCCAGCTGTCCAGGTGATAGCAGCTGTGATAAGCGGTCAGATAACAGATCGTCTAACGCAGGGTTTAGAGATACAAAGTAACATTGTTTATAAACATTGATCAGAGGGAGAAATAGAGAGATACAAAGTAACATTGTATATAAACATTGATCAGAGGGAGATAAGAGAGATACAAAGTTACATTGTTTATAAACATTGATAAGAGGGAGATAGAGAGATACAAAGTAACATTGTTTATAAACATTGATCAGAGGGGGATAGAGAGATACAAAGTAACATTGTTTATAAACATTGATCAGAGGGAGATAGAGAGATACAAAGTAACATTGTTTATACAAAAATGATTTCTTTATGCAATCTATAGGCAGAAAAGGGTAACACAGGAGCACAGTTTTGTTTTTTTATTTTGATCAGTGTTGGTTTAAAAGTAATTGTTACTTTAGATAAAAAGTATTATTTTTATTATATAATTTCATTTCATTTATAAATGAAGAAGTAAAAAAAAAAAAACAGCAGGAAAATAATAGCTTTATAGGTGAAGGGGAAGAAGGTGTTAATAAGATCCAATTAGGGTGAACTAAGGGTTAATAAGCAGTTAGATAGCACCAAATTCTAATTAAAAAAACTTTTTTTCTTTTGTACTTGTCAGGTTTCTTTAGCTGATACCATATGCAGATGAATGAAACAGGAAATACAAAAGTAACACTGTGACTTTGTATGTCTCTATCTCCCTCTGATCAATGTTTATAAACAATGTTACTTTGTATCTCTCTATCTCCCTCTGATCAATGTTTATAAACAATGTTACTTTGTATCTCTCTATCTCCCTCTTATCAATGTTTATAAACAATGTAACTTTGTATCTCTCTTATCTCCCTCTGATCAATGTTTATAAACAATGTTACTTTGTATCTCTCTATCTCCCTCTTATCAATGTTTATAAACAATGTAACTTTGTATCTCTCTATCTCCCTCTGATCAATGTTTATAAATTTACTTTATTATCTTAGGTGAAGATGTCAGGGATGTCCAAACTGCGGCCCTCCAGCCGTGGGGCGAAACTACAAATCCCATGAAGCATCTCTCTCGGGGAGTCATGTCTGTGAGAATCTTGCAAAGCCTCATGGGATTCGTAGTTCCACCACAGCTTGAGGGGCGCAGTTTGGACATACCTGGGTTCAGGTCTGGACTCTGTGGTGGCCGATCCATGTGTGACAATGATGTCTCATGCTCCCTGAACCACTCTGTCACAACCTGAGCCGGGTGCATCCTGGCATTGTCATCTTGGAATATGCCCAATCAGGGGAAAAAAAAGTCCATTGATGGAAAAACCTCATTCAGTATTTTCAGGTTGGCAGCCGACCTCATTTTTTGGGGACGTAATGTTGCTGAACTTAGACCTGACCAACTGAAGCAACCCCAGACCACAACACTTATCCAATGGAAGGATCTGACCTAATTACCTATCTAAATCCAGGTGGTGACCTTTTTTTTTGGGCCAGGGAGTGTATTTATCATTCCAATGTTCACATTACTACATGAAGGTGTGGCTGTGCGATAACAGAGGCTCATGTTAGTGTCATCAGACTCCAGTTTCCTAATAAGAAAAGTGTCTGAACAGCTTTGTGAATCTAACTTTGGCTCCGCCGTATGTTACTTTCTGGGGGTGATGAGAGTTGCTCCTGTCCCCCTGGTGCTAGGTCCCTCCATGATACTTGACCCCTAGGTAAGTGGCTGTACAATTCAATCATACTAAGAATAAATGTATATAGCTGAATGGAAACATTGAAAACTGGAAAATATGATTTATAAATGTATTATGAAATCGCATATAAACATGTTGAACAATGCATCATGTATTTACAAATAGATTTATACCGATCCCCCTGAAGAAGCCTACGAGCGTAACGCGTAGGGGACTAACAAAGCAATTACAACACTGCATACGAAAATCAAGGAATTATGAATATGCATAGTGGAATATGAATTATATAGAAAATATTTATGAAATGTGAAAAGTAATAATTTTAGGGTTATAAGAATCATGTATATATATGAGCATTGTTTTTAATCTTTCTAATTATGTAATAAACATTTTATATGAACGTCAACAAATTTGTATGAATTATAATTATGAGTTCCCTCAAAAAAAACCTTCACAACTAAGGTTGCAAATGTATAGATAATTAACTTTCTATTGTCGCCGATAATAAGAACTGTGAATTAGTTTTGTGTGGTGCCAGATACAAGAAAACAAGTCTGATAAAGAATTAGGTGCGCAGGCAACCCGTAGAGGAAGAACTCCGGACTTCTGGAGTCAATGCAATTGTGAATTTCCACCTGTTACAAAGAATTACTGCCATAGCACCGAATGTGACACGAAACTCCGGAGGTAAATCCTAAAAAAACATTCAAGTCCCCGAACTCTGAGCAACAATGTATCTGATTTGTGTATCACTCGGCTGGAGATCCTCCAATCATCTCTGACACTGTCCTTCCTTCTGGAGGGGGGCTACGTCTGTTCCCCATGGTCCCTGTGAGTGTTGTAGAGTCGTCACTGCGCCAAGCCCCCGGGATGGACTACAATCTCAGGTTTAGTTTACTAATTTGTATTGAGATTGTAGTCCATCCCAGGAGTGAGCTTTGAGCGGTGACTACTTTACAACACACACAGGGACCATGGGGAACAGACGTAGCCCCCCTCCAATTCTTCTATGGGTCCAGCAAACAAGATCGGAAACTATCATTCCTGTCACTGCAAATACCGGATAAAAGCTGATTTGTGGCTAAAAGGCGCGCAGAGGCTCCCCGGCCATTTGTATGAATATCCTGGAATAGACGGGTCCCTCCCTACTGAGGTATGCCGGCTGTCCCTGCACAGACCACAGTCTGCTGTGCGTGTGACTCCTCGGGACACGCGCTGCAGGAGACAACGTGACGTCACCCCATCTCCTACTTTCTCCTCGGCACGTCTGCAGGTAGGTCAGGCTCAGTTCTGGCTTCAATACTCCTTTTGTGTGTGCGCGGCGAGTTTAATGACAAGGCGCTCTTATCGCAGCCAAGCAGCCGGGACACCTCCCAACACCCGGAGCCTGACGTCACCCTATGCCGGGACAATGCACGCTGCAGACTGGACCGCGCTTGTACTGTCTCTGCATTCCGGTGCCATTGCTGGGCCGCGAGGGGCTTCAGGGCCAAACTACCGGGGTAGGGGGGGGGGCGCAAAAATGCACCTTGCCTGTGTAGGCAAAAATCCTAGCAGCGGCCCTGGACCCGATCATTTCCATCTTCTGATTGTATCTATGAAATGTCACACGGGGGCATTTTATCTTCACTCCGTCCTTCCCTTCAGTCTTCCTCAGTTGTACCCAGAGCCGTGTTTAATACTGACTGGGCCCTGGACAATTTTCTCGGGCTCCTCTGCCCCGACCCGCCATGCTACATGCTGTACTGCAGGGGCGGAGCAACACTATGCGATGATGATCGCATAGTAAACAGAACAGTGCCACCAGGGTGCCACCTTTTCTTCAAGAGAAACACGAACACTCTAGCGCTGCAATTTTTTTTAGAATATACAGTACAGACCGAGGAGAGACAGCCAGGAGAGAGTGCGAGAGGAGAGACAGCCAGGGGAGAGCGAGGAGAGACAGCCAGGGGAGAGCGAGGAGAGACAGCCAGGGGAGAGCGAGGAGAGACAGCCAGGGGAGAGCGAGGAGAGACAGCCAGGGGAGAGCGAGGAGAGACAGCCAGGGGAGAGCGAGGAGAGACAGCCAGGGGAGAGCGAGGAGAGACAGCCAGGGGAGAGCGAGGAGAGACAGCCAGGGGAGAGCGAGGAGAGACAGCCAGGGGAGAGCGAGGAGAGACAGCCAGGGGAGAGCGAGGAGAGACAGCCAGGGGAGAGCGAGGAGAGACAGCCAGGGGAGAGCGAGGAGAGACAGCCAGGGGAGAGCGAGGAGAGACAGCCAGGGGAGAGCGAGGAGAGACAGCCAGGGGAGAGCGAGGAGAGACAGCCAGGGGAGAGCGAGGAGAGACAGCCAGGGGAGAGCGAGGAGAGACAGCCAGGGGAGAGCGAGGAGAGACAGCCAGGGGAGAGCGAGGAGAGACAGCCAGGGGAGAGCGAGGAGAGACAGCCAGGGGAGAGCGAGGAGAGACAGCCAGGGGAGAGCGAGGAGAGACAGCCAGGGGAGAGCGAGGAGAGACAGCCAGGGGAGAGCGAGGAGAGACAGCCAGGGGAGAGCGAGGAGAGACAGCCAGGGGAGAGCGAGGAGAGACAGCCAGGGGAGAGCGAGGAGAGACAGCCAGGGGAGAGCGAGGAGAGACAGCCAGGGGAGAGCGAGGAGAGACAGCCAGGGGAGAGCGAGGAGAGACAGCCAGGGGAGAGCGAGGA